AAGAGAGGGAAAAGAGAAGGAAAGAAAGAGAGAGGGAGAGAGAGGGAGAGGAGAGAAAAGAAGGTGTTCCCAGCTACGAACAATCGTCCAGGGACACACCAAAGAAAGAGAGGGGAGATCCTGAGTATTCCATTCAGGAAAACCCCAGAAGGCAAAGAAAGAAAGGGGAAGGGAAGGGGGGAGGGGGGACTAAGCTCGCGACAGGTTCCAATGAACCTTGAACAGACTTCGGTCGCTGCGACCGCGTACGGCCTGCCCAGGGGCTGCCACCTCTGACCGCTGCGGTCACGTAAAGGCATGAGCCAACTTGGAATTCCAAAGATGAGACAAAAATCATCGTACTTACGGCCTAGGCCACCTACGCTCGCTGCGAGCTGCTCTGTATCCGGGCAGTGGATACCTTCGACGTACACCCGTTCGACGGGTCTACGGGAGGCACTCTGCGGGCTCATCCCGGGTTGGCGCAAGGCCAAACACACTTGAGATATTGTGTACTGAACTGAATGCGGTGCCACACGCCGGCCTAGGGTTCCATTTCCTAAGAGTACCCAGTAGGAAGCCATCGAATCCTGGGGGTCTTCAAAAGGAAAGGTGGCCCAAAGCGCAAGATCGAGGTCGGCGAGCAGGTCGAAGTGACGACGTGTCGTGCATGTCTGCAGTTTGAGGTTCTGGGCTTAGCCTCATGCCATTCGAAAAGAATCGCAGGTACGCTGGAGTGGCCAACTCCAGTATCCCATCTTGCTGCCTAGCTTTGTTAGACCAGGTCAGCAGCAAGATGCCTGGTCCCCCTGCCTTGAAAAAGGCAAACCGAACAAATCCAAAAGGATCCCTATGATTCCAAGGGTTACACACACACACGCGCAACCACAAGCACAACCACAAACACAACCACAACCACAAGCACAGTCACAAACGCAATGACAAACAACCCCAAGCTCGAGGACCCGCAAGCAAAATCGAGAACCACAAAGCCCACGACCATGGCAACATGCTCCTCACCATGGCATGAAAACAAATGATTGAAATGTCATGGTGGGGATCATTCGATATAAAGTGATTTTGAAGGAAAAACAAACGATCAGATCGTATAAGTACTAGAAGAATAACCATAGGGGCCTTGGGGATTGGATCCAAGAGATTCAGTCTTTTGGCTCCTCCTTTTTTTCGAGCCCAGAGGCTTTCTGCTGACTGTGTCCACGTGGTCTCTGGCACTCCGATCTCCGACCACATGCAAAACCTTGATCGAACCCGTCAGAAACCGTCGCCTCACGTCGCCAGGCCAAGGGGGCAAAGGTCGAAAGTGAAAGAGAGCTTGCGGAATGACCAGCAGATCGAGTACTTGGTCTCGCTTTACAAGGACGCCGCTGGGTGGATGAAGGTCACACGGGTTCGGACGACAATGACGGGTGTGAACAAAAGACTCAAGGCTTGCCGAATTGCTGACCTTTCGAGACTGATGGGTAGACACGGAAACAGGGAAGAAAGTTGGTGTGACATTTGCCTCGTCTCGTTAGCTGGAAGTGGTGGAATTCGAATGCGTTTTTGGTTGAACTGAGTATCCTGGGTGCCATGGGTTGTTGAGTTGCAACTTCCAAGCCGCCAGACCCTCTTGGACTTTCACATAAAGGATAAAAAAGGGGGGTGTGACCAGAACTTGCACAATTCGGAATGACTTTCAGGACCAGACCTAGTGCGTTGAAAACCATTTCACGTCGCCTTTCATGGAGCCCTTCGAGCCTCTTTGAGCTACCGAGGTCGAAGCGCCCAAGGATGACTTCGGCCCCTTGGCAGATGGCTCCATGGCTTTACCCAGCTTTCCCATCTATTGCATGCCGGGCAACGAGATGGAGGCCGATGACAACGAGGCGAACACGGCGGGAACGGCTGGGAACGGCCCTGTGTCGCTGGTTGCCTCTGGTCCGACCAAAAGGACTTCCATGAATACTTCCTATAATATATTATATATACTGGTCCCCAATGAGATGGTACTAGTGCAACGTACCCACCAGGTTTTATTCAGAAAACGAAGTTACGCGTATTACGCGGGCGTGGTTTTTACGCGTTTTTGTGGTTTGTGGTTTTCTGTGTTTTTTGAAAATGTTGGTTATTCAGGCTCTATGTGGTGAGGGTGAATACCTATACTGGATGGTCTCAATGGTGGAGTGTGGAAGAGTGTCTTGATTTGATGGCTTAAGATATCCAATGAAAGAGAGAGAGAGAGTGAGAGAGATGGGCATATAGCTACAGCTAGAGGGCATAGGAAAATGGAACTTCCAATGTGGATGAAATGAGATGAGATGAGATGAGATGAGATGAAGCATTGGGTGCATCAAACAGCTGGCATTGGGGTTGTGGCTGTATGTATGCAGTTTCATTTGAGACCAAAGGCGGCTGCGTAGACGCAACACCTGGCATGAGAGATTGGGATCCTGACTTTGAGCAAATTGTATGGCTATACAAGCCATTGAGCAAATGCCCCAGACAGCAGCGCAATATGGATCGTGCTTCGATTGGTTTTGTTTGGCCTCCAAGAGCACATGGGCACCATGTGAGAGGGAAACTTGCTAGGCAATCAGTGATGGGGATGGGGTCCATGGAATGCCTGGTGCATGGTTAGGTGGCCCAATGGAAGATCGGAACCATTTGGGTACAACATTGGTTGATCCTCATGGTTCATGCTATTGGTAGAGCATATTTTTTTGCACAATTTATTGGTTTACTTTTGGGTGGGTGTTGGTGAGGTCCAATGAGGTTTTGAGCTTGGGTGGCATCACGAGAAAGAATGTCCTTGGCAATGTTGGGTGAACATTGGGAGCATGCTGAGCATGCCAGGTTTGGTACAACCTGCCTTCATGTATGTCTATGTGTGGGCAAGAAGGTTGGGGTGAAGAGAAGGTTCTTCATGAGCTTGGGAATGAGTAGTGGCCACACAGCCAATTCAGACCCATAGTGTATCTATGGCTGGATCGTTCCATGGGCTTCATAAGGTTCTTTGGAAGATTTCGTCGTAGATGGGGGGATATGGAGCATAGACCTGAAGAGCCATTGGGTGAGAGCAGTGGAGATGAGCAGGATTGGTCTAATCGAACTTGTGGGATAGGATGTGAACTCCCAATGCGCGCAGAATGGTTCCCTATGACCCTGAGAATGAGGATGAGGCTTATTCTGGGTATGGGCGTCAAGAAGGCCATGCAAAGCCCAATTCCAATCAGTCATCCAGGTCCAGTACTACTAAGCAAGTTTCTCAACTTTTGTTGGGCCTGGTGGGCACATTGTGTTTCAAGATACTGATCTTCTCTCCATTTCATAAAGAATGTGGAGAGAGAAGCCCATCTCTTAAAGAATGTGGAGGGAGAAGCCCAAAAAGTGCTACCATTGAAACAATGAGAATGCTTATGGGCAAGGAAGGGTAGAGTCGGATCCAGAGGTTGTTTAAAAAAAATTGGTTTGTGTGGGAAACAGGAGCGCAAGAACATATCTAGACCGCAACCGTGGAAACTCTTTCAAAGCATGACAAAATCTAAGAAAAACACCACAAAAGCGCGTAAAAACCATACCCGCATAACTTCGAGCTCTCTTTGTATTATCCTATCTCATGTGTCCAAAGCATACTCGAAATTTGAACAGAACCAAACCTATCTCATGTGTCCTGGCATTGCCAGAATGCTAGATTCCTTGGCATGTCCGGAACTGCTGTGAGACCTTCAAATTTGGGAACTGTGCCAGTCGGGACAATATGACGACAGAACGGCCCCTTGTTTACTCCAGGGTTTGTGTTTTGGAGGTGTGCACAGCAAGAACTGTTCAGATAATCTCAGAATCTATTGTTGCAATCTTCAAACCTATTTGGAAGGCACAGCTACACGAGCTCGAATCATTGGGAAAGTGATGGGAAAATGACTGTTTGGGAACATGTCGTGGGATTTTAGGACACTCTTGCGGCACAACCCTAAATGATCTCATGTGACTTCTGCTTCTGTTGTGCTCGGATTTTCCTATCTCATCTGCCCTTTTCATCAATTTTGGATGTCCATAAAGTCCTATCTCATCAGTGAACTCATCAGTACCCAGTATATATATATATATATATAGTTGGCTTTGTGAGTCGACTGGCCGCTCAGGGCTATCGAGAACTTCAGAAGCTCTTGACGGACCGCACCTACACTCCTATTGGAATTTGGTGGCTGTGCGGTCCTGAGAGTGCCAACAAGACTGTCACGGACTCACCGGTCCATCAGTGGCTGGGTTTCCACAACGGCTGGGTTTCTTTCTGTTCGTTCGACTTCATTCCTGTGCTGCTTCGTCCCAGGTGGCGCTGCTTCGACGGCTACAATGACCAACATGCGCGGGCCGCGGTGGTTGCCATTACCTTCCGAGATCGTTTCTTCTTGGTGGATATACTGAAGTTGGAAGCTTAGCGACGACCTGAGTGACACAGACTCACGTGGCAGGTGCTGCGACCAGGCCTGGGTCTAGGGATTCACTTCAGTGGCTTGAAAGAAAAGAGGTCTCAGGTTTCAAGATCGAACCATCCTGAATCTTGGTCTTCAGTGTTCAGAGTGGATAATAAGGTTTCTGTTTTTGCCTCAAAGGAAGCACAAGATTCGACATGGTTTTCAATCGTTTGGTTCTCAGTCTGGCCGTGAACATATCTCAGGCTGGACACTCTGGAGAAGGTCCGGTCAAGGGGGAGGGGGCACTGGTGACGAAGTGAGTCCTTCAAGTTCGGCAAGCCAGAGATGCCATTGACCTGGGTGTGGCCCGAGTCTACTAGAGTGTTGGAAGCATACGCCCCCAAAAGGTTGTTGGGTTTGTTTGGGGCAACGGAGAGAGAGATTGGTGGTTCCACTCACGGTCGGCCGGGGGCCAAAGCCCGAGAGTTGACACGAGGGCTTTGTTCATCTGGTGCCGGTCGGAAATCGTGGTGATCAGGTGATTGAGGGACGTTTTTTTCACCCAAGGGATATGAGTGAATTTCTGTGCACTCCGCGGCGCGCACCAAGCACGCATCCCAAGTCCACATTTTTACAACATCACCAGCAAATACCAGGAAGGTATATTCACGCAAGACCTGGCGTGTGAGATGGAGACCACCTTGCATCGGACCATCAGACAGAGTACCTGTGCAGGCAAGGCAGGGCCTGGACGGCAAGTACAAGAGGCTCCTTTTGAGCATCCTCAAGGCCGGCCCCACCGCTGAGTCGTTTCCAAGCGGACACACGGACAGCCCCCCCAGCACTAGAGTACCAAAACTTTGTGCACAACATCAAAAAACTCTAGACGATTCCCCTATTCGACTTTTCAATTCTTTCGACATTTTGACTTTTCGGCTCAGCCCACCGACAAGGATGCACCATATGCCCATATGCTGAATATCACGCTTTATTCCAGAACTGTTCTGCTGGCAGACCAGCTTAGGCTGGTTTCAGGCTCAGTGAAACACAACATTTGGACAGAAGCGAGGAAGCGATCAGACATGGGAGCAAACATTTTCCGAAAGTTTGTAGGCGGGCACCTGATGATCGAGCATTCATGGCTGCTACATGATACTGCAGGTTTCTTGGCATGTCCCGTCCCACAGGAATCAGAGGAAGAGAGAGAGAGAGAGAGAGAACGCGACATTTTGCTTGTTTCAGAGGGATCTAGAGGAACTGCCTTCAAGTTTCAAAACCCTTTTTCGCGACCACCTTCGTTTGGCCAAAGATCCCCTCTTCGTTGGGTGAGAGGCGAAACATCTCCTGAAAGTCGTCCACTACTTGGAGGGCACAGCAGGGAGCCTTGGAGCGCCGTGACCACCGGGAGAACAGCGCCGGAGAACATCCCCGGCACGAAAAGCCGTGGTTTTCATGGTGCTATGAGTGGATGAAGAACACCCCTGACTCCTAGGAAGGGGCGCCCCTTTCTTCTTGGAGAAAGCATCTCCAACCGACATGTCATAGCTTTGTGGTGTCAAAAGTAGACGCCCAAGAGGACACGGTATAAATATGGATTGTCAGGTTAAACTGTTAAACATGACACTGTCATGACAGGAAGAAAGAGAGCCCACAATCCCTCTTTTTGTATTCATACTTTTCCCATCGCAGGAACCCTCCCAGCGATGTGCGGTTGCGAAGACGGAATTGGAAACCTCCCTGCCGCGGCCGCTTTACAGATCCACCCGGTCGTGCAGCAAATGCTTTTTGCTTTTTGGTTTCCGCCTCATGTGGGCGGTGTGAAGGGTCAAACAGTAGTTTTTCTTAGCACCAAGGGCAGGGATGCTCAGGATGCGCACTTTTCCTCAGCACCTGGTCAGATGTATGGAAGTGGATCACGGGATACACACAAAAAGAACACGTCAACAACCATCTCCCTCGATGAGCTGAATCACGGGATGCAAAGCGGGATCAACACACCCTTGGTGGTAATCCCCGGTCTGCAGAGCTGAATGCGCGGACACACTCTCAAACTCTCTCAAAGCGAATCTTGATCGGCTGGATCGAGCCCAACAGATTGAACTAAGTCTGCCGAGTTGAAGAGTTGGTGCGCCCTGAGTCCATCGGATGGTGTTCTTTTTCTGTCAACACCACATCCTTGGAAGGGAGGATTTCTGTTGGATTGTCATCCGAAAACAACTCGATCGCGAGTCCTCTACTTGAGCTCAGCCAGGGTCTTCGGGCACTGCAGCTGGCGTTGATCACCGAAGAAGAGCGTGAAGGCAGAAGATCGGCAGAGGAGCCTTACTACTAGGAACAAGGACGCTACTAGAAGCATGTCGGGCATCGCTACTAGGACCCTAGGAGCGATCGGACGCTACGAACGGGGCTCCTGGCCTTACTACGAACGGAACAAGGATGCTACTAACTTGAGCGCAGTTTCTTTCGACGACTTGGGGAAGCAGAAAAAGATCCAGCAGAGCGATCCGTTGACCCGGATGGAGGTTTTTTGTCCTTTAAATGGCGGCCATTTGGCGGCCTTTTTGGGATCCAAAAGACCAAACCAGTCGAGTAGCTGCAGGTAACATTGATGTGTTCAGGGTCCACTTCTTGAAACTTTCCGCTGTACCTCTTGGTTCGGATCAAGTCTTTTGTTCTTGTTTTGCAAAGCATTACAACATCAATCTGCATCAGCATTTTTCGTTATCGATGCTGGTTGTGGCCCCAAGACCCATGGACATTCGTAGCATCACCAGATCTCTAATTTCAGTTCCACAATCGGCAGTATCGTATCATTGTACATAAGTTACATAATCAATTGTCAAATGGCACTACCAGTGAGCAAAAAAACTGAATGCTTACCTAAACATTTGGCAGGTCACACAGTGCATCTATCCAGCAAATCATCAGCAAGGAGGGGATGAAAAGAAATGAAAGGACCCGAGGTTCCTGACTTTCGAGGGCTCAAGAGCAATCTGAGGGGTCTTGTGGTTCTTCACCTCCCTTCCCCGGTTTCTCCCACCTCCCGGTCTACTTTTCGCCTTTACAGGCGACGAAAAGCCCACGAACTATGCAGATGTCTCGCCCACCATCGACCTGTGCTGGGCCGTGGCCTTGGTGGGTCTCACACCGGTGCCACGTGCCGGGACTGTGGGGAGGACGGAAGGCACGTCGGTGCTTGTTTCAGTGCGCGGTGAAAAGGAATGCAGGGGAATGCATAGAAGGATGATTTTTGGGGTTTGAACAGAAGGTGTCCATATGCCATATGCCGAAGATTGAGAGCAGCAAGCAGAGCTTGAAAGTGTAGCGGGTGCTCTTGATACCAAGATCGTCGACTCATGGACCCAAAGGCCCAAGGGAGTACATGGTCAGCAATACAAGTACGCTTCAACCGCATGTGGCTCGACATTGGAAGCACTATCCAGAGCACTGCACTGTAGCTTGATTGTGTCTGAAAGCCGATCTTTCGATGGGAACTGCCACTGTTTCTTGGCACACCTGTCCAAAAAAGAAGTACATGAAGGCAATTGACTCACCCCAGACCCTTTTGTACGGGGATCTCTCCACCTCTCGCTCTCTCTCTCTCTCTATATGTACATATATATATATATACACATTATATTTATATATACATACACAGACTTCGTTTACCTTTCGAGATTTATGCAGGCTCGGTCCTTGCTCGTGCCACTCAACCTGCTGTCTCGATAGCAGGTTATGGCATATCTGCATGGGACATCAGGGAGACAAGAAAAGGAGCTCGTGGGCCACGCTGCCATGTTCTTGGAAGTGGCTTCCACTGCATCGACAGCTCACCAGCTGTTGGTGATCTGTGATCGCAGAGAACCCTTGAGAATAGTACTTGATGACATGCCTTTGTCCGATACCAAAACTATGTTCTTCAGGTCGATTTTACAGTATTTTTGAGGCGAAGTAGGTAGGGATCAGTGAATTGGAACACCAAAGCGACCCTCGAGGTCATCGGGTTTCATCAGGTTTTCTGAAGCAACTCTTTCTGGGAAGATATCCAATGCAAGGCTGGATTGATTTAGGGCAGGGCAGTTATTCAAAGCTTCTTGAAGTTTCTTGCCACAGGCTTTGGCCAGGGCAACTGCAATAGAGGGGTACGCCAGTGTGCTCAACCTGAGTTTCTTGCACTGTCACGCTTTGGGATATGACTGATATCCATTTCAAGAGTCTAGCAGAACCTAGAACAGAGCTGGATGATTTCCACATGTAGTTTTTTTTTTGAACTTGTCCAGAACCGCCCGGGCGAAGTTGGCGTATCCGAGACCCGACCTCCCTCGCTGGGAGCAAGAAGGTCTCTCCCCAGCTTGTGGTACGCTGATATATTCTGTTATGCTCTTTTCCAATCTTTTTCATCTTTGCACCGACAAGGCCATGGAAAAAGACTGCCAAGAAGAGGAAGCTCCTAATTTGGTGGGTCATAGTCATATGTGATAGGCACCACACTCTCTTGTTGGTGGTCCGCTCCCGACACCGATTCAGCCAGGTCTCGTTTGGAAGTATTTGCGGTGGGATCTCTGTGTGACTGAAGCCAGGATCTCAGTCGGTCGGACAGCAGCCCTAGTGGTGCACAGGAGGTCGTGGAATGCCTTGAGCGACCGGCCACCGGTTCTTGCTGGAAAGCTTGCCCAGTGGCAGATACCAGAAGACCCCAGTCTGGAGGCACATTCTGCACCATGTGCCTTTCAATTCTGCCGACCAGTTTTCGGAACTCTGTCACTTCAGACTTTGGAACTTGTTCGACTTTGACCCAGTGAGCGAGCAGCCGCCCTGGTCGCACAACTGCTCTTGGCTGAGGCCTTGAGCAACTTTGAACGTCGACCTTTACGGGAGTCGCAGAAGCACTATGCGCTTCTTGGGTGCAGAGACAAAGGCTGCCAGAGGCTATCGAGATTCATAGTGACTGAGACCAGACACTCAAAAAGTTGTCATGACCAGACAAAAAACAGTGTGCGTTTGTGTGCGCAAGAAGAGACCAGTTCAAAAGAACTGGGACTCCAGACGTGGTCCCGTGGAGAACACATAACAAGCGTGGCCGGCACGTTTGCGTAGAACTGAGCTCAGGGACGTTGATGAGGCTTGCAAAACTCCCTTTTGGATCCTTTTGAGACTCAATCAGCTGCACAAAGGTGGATGCCAAACCAGCTCGTGTTGTCGATTGGTAATGTTATGCAACCTATAAGGGTTGACCAATCAGAAAACTGATGACAACTGGTATGATGCCATAAGACTTTGCCTGGAGCTGCTAAAGCCAAGACCCTTACCATCTTCGACCTTCTTCGGCGCTGAGACATTCAGTATCCGTGTGCCACTGCGCCACGGAGCGAGGTTGAGCCTGGCCTGGTGCCCTTTGGTCATCCTTCGCGCTGTTTGCGCACATGGACTTGTTAGAGAGGAAGTGGCACGGATGCTCAGTGGTCGATTTCATCGGACCAAAGCCCCGTTCATTGGGAGTGCCTGTTGAAGCTTAATTTGGACCGAGTGAACTCACGGGAACTGGCATCCAGAGTGAAGTCTTCATGTAAAGGAATGCAGTGAAATACCAACCTGTCGAGCACCCTGTGTGGTGCGGCAGATCTACATTCGTGGTCAGCCCAACATACCCCAGGTCAAACCTGCCGAAAAGCACCGGAAAAGCCCTGGTAGAGGTCACGTCGCTCTGCATTGTGGCGAACGGAGACTGGGTGACGGACAAGAGGGACGAGGCCTGGGTTTGGATGTCGACAGCCACCCACTGAAGGGCTCAGTGAGAAACGGTCGCAGCTGGGGGCTGGTCGCGGCCATGATTAACCTGGCTCAATGTGGGGACCATGCCCCAGGGTCATTTCCTTGATTCTTGCAGTCCTGGACCACTGATGCCACGATCGATTCCAAGGTGTAAGTATGAAATGCATTGAACATGCACTCCAAAAATGGATGTCCGACTCCCTAAAAATCTAGAAACCAAATCACTAGTGCGAGCGCTTCTTCCAAGAAGCTTCCCCTTCAAGAAGCATGAGCTATCCTGCGTCCAGTTACTAGAAGCTAATTAGTCGCCCTGAGCTTACTTACTCCGTTAATTAAGTGGGCGCACACTTAACTTAAAAAAGGACCCAGACCCACCCTCCACCGCTTTCGAAGGTTTTCGCTCCCCGGATGCGGCTGGAAAAGACCCCACGGCCCGCAGGCCATGCATCGTGAGAATTTCGGCGCCCGGGGTCCTGACCTCCGAAAAGGTCGCGCTGGGAAGAGACGGCCGCTCCATGGATCCAAGTGGATTCCCTTGTTTCTCAGTGGAACTGACCAAGTGGATCCAAGTCTGTTTGTGTGTTTGTGTTTGTGTGTGTGTGTGTCTCCCCCTGTTCCAAAGGGTTCTCTTTTGCATGCGCGAATTCAAAAATGCAGGGGGTGCAAGCAGCCCATCCAGTCTTGCCAACGAAGACACTGGATGTGTGCTGGTGAAATTGATCCAGGACGCTGGATCAACGTACCTGCGCGTGACACCACTCCACTTTCTCCGCGCTATTTGTTGTTTCCATGGTGGTTCTCATGCTATTTCCCTAAACCTCCCCCCGCAGCTGTGCCGCTGAGCCGCCGCCGCGTTCTGCAGTCACGCGCAAAGTTTTGTTCAAGACTCAACTGAGCGGACCACTTCGCCTTACCGTTCCATTGCCTTTTCCTCGTGGATTATGAAATTGAATGAACCTGTGACTAAGTGTCAAACCTTCCGTCCAGAAACAAGGGACATCAGCGCAGCGATGCAACAGATTGCGAAGGGTTCAATTTTTCAGACGGTTTTTTCCCATGAAGCGATCTTGGGGCATGGGGCAACAGGGTCTTTGCATGGCTGTCGCTAGCAAAGCTCCTGCAGTTGGCGAGGATATCCAGGTTGATTGGACGTACCTGCCACAGTTTGAACTGTCGATCAAGCTGTCTACTACTAACTATGATGTGGCTTGAATTTAGTCAGCTGTAGTTTGGCGCATGTTGTGGCAGTAAAACACAGTCAAAGATAGTTAAAGTGCATGGTTCTGCAAAGAAGGACTATGACCAGTGTGAATGTGAAACAGACCAGGGCGAGATAACGCACAATATGAACTGGGAAGGAGTCGTGCAATGGATGCGGAACGTTACGCCCAAGAGGCAACAAGAGTCAAGAATTATTACAGATTTGCACGGTGCGGAAGGGCGGCTGCTTTTTTATTGGCCAAACCACACAATATTCCTTTGAAGCAATCGTTTTGATTGACTCGTTGGCCGGTGGTTTCCTCATCTGGCCTGGCGCCCGACACGGTGCCGGCTCCATGAACCTCCGAGGATGGAAGCAGCTTTGCTGGAGCAGGCGACCACCGGACTCCGTCGGCTGAGAAGCATTCTTTTTTGGAACGGAAGTGAAGAGGAAGGGGCCGTACAGTAGGACATTCTTTTGGGGAGTGAGTGCGTTTTCCAGTTCGTTTTGACCAGAACGAGGCACTCCACGGACACACTTTTTTTTTGAATCAGAATCTGGATCTCATTTTCGCGACTGATTCAGAGCGGCGCGCATGTCGCCCCATTTTTTCCTTAGAACCAATGCCCTACAGCTTTGGCATGTTTTCACTGTGGACACATTACGAAGTGATTCCAGGAGATCACGGCTTCTTGAGTCGCGATGGCAACGATGGCAACCATCAGATGAACGCTCGCCAGTAGAACACCTCACTCAGGATAGAGTAAGTCCATTCATTCCCACGTCATCCCTGGTTAGGTCATCAAACCATGCTCAAACCTCAAAGCCCAAGTGTTGTCTATTGCTATTTCCCCAAACAGTTTACTGTTGGGGCTTGATCTTAGAAAAAGAGCTGGCCACACTCACTGGCCGCGCCCCTGAACTCTGTCTCTGTTTCCGGGTCTTGTCCTCCTCTTGTCCTTTTCTCGGCCGCGCCCCTGAACTCTGTGGCTGGGCTGTGTGGGCTCTGTGTCCGGGCCTTGTCTTACTAAAAGGAGCTAGGAACAAGAACGTTACTAGGGGCTCCTGGCCTTACGACTAGGAGCAAGGACGCTACCAGGAACAAGAACGCTACTGGGGGCTCCTGGCCTTACTACTAGGAGCAAGGACGCTAGGAACAAGAACGCTACTAGGGGCTCCTGCCTCCTCTTGTCCTTGTCTTGCCGCGGCCGAACTCTGTGGCTGGGCTCTGTGACCCGGCTCTGTGTCTGGGTCTTGTTCTCCCTTTGTCCTGCTGTTGTCGTCTGGCCACGCTGACCAAGCCTGTCCTTGTCCTGCTGTCCTCCTCTTGCCCTTCTCTTCTCCTGCTGTTGTCCCCTGGCGCGCTGAACCAACCCTGTGTCGTCCTCTTGCCCTTCTCTTGTTCTCCTCTTGTCCTGCTGTTGTCCTCCTCTTGTCGTCGTCTTGTCCTTGTTGTCCTCCTCGTGTCCTTTTCTTGTCCTGCTGTTGTCCTCTTCTTGTCGACCTCTTGCCTTTCTCTTGCTGTTGTCCTCCTCTTGTCCTTCTCTTGTCCTGCTGGCGTCCGCCTGAATCTTGCCTGCACAGTGCCCGACTGACAAGGGAACTTGGCCGCCCAATTGTTCCGTAAGCTTCTCAAGCATTTTTGGGTGTGCGCCAGCGCGCTCCAGGCGTGCTCAGGGCATGTTCTTACTTAAGGGCGCGCGCAGGGGTTTGGAACGCGCAGGCAGTGCACTTTGAAGAACGGTGTCTCGTCTACGCGCTCATGCTGGGAGTGTGTCTTGGAGCCCTCTCTTCAATTAGCGCGCAATTCCTTAATGGTTGCTTCTGAAAGGCGCTTGGAGAGAGTTTTGGGCGCGCTCCAGGAACAGTTATAAAACGCACGCACTCCGGAAAGGCGCGCTCCAGGCGCGCTCTGGAAGTCGAACGCTTTGAAACCACTCGGAACTATTCCTGGGATGAGCTCCCAAGCGCCCCCAACAGCGCGCACCCAGCATGTTCCACAGCGCGTGCCTAAAATCTAACTGAAGAGGACACCCCTGAAGCCTTCAAACAATCTAGGGCGCGCAGGATAAGTATGGACTAGAACACCGGCCCCTCCTCCTCCTCCTCTCCTCCTCCTCTCCTCCTCCTCTCCTCCTCCTCTTGTCCTGTTCTTGTCCTCTGACTGCCTTTTGTCCTTCTCTTGCCATCCTCTTGGCCTTCTATTGTCTCCTTTTGCCCTCTTCTTCTTGTCCTCCTCTCATCCTCCTCTTGTCCTTCTCTTGTCCTCCCCTTCTGGCCGCGCTGACCAACCTTGTGTCCTCCTCCTCCTGCTGTCCTCTGGCAGCGCTGACCAACTCACCTGTGCCCTCCTCTTCTTCTGCTGTTGTCCTCTGGCCGGGCTGAGCAGCCCTGTGTCCTCCTCTGGTCCTTCTTGTCCCTTGCTTGGCCACGCCGTTTTTGCTATCTCCACCGCCTTGTCTGGGTATGTTTTCATGTGGCTATGAATGCAACAGTGATACAGCGATCGAAAGGTGATATCACCATCGGATATTCTCATGACATATAGACATATATCCGGTATCCCATCGTTTTGCACATGTGACACAGGCATCAGGAACTGGTGTTTTCAAACATTTATTGTTCAGGCGCAGTTCCCAAACAGCTGGAGGCTTTAGAACAGTAACAAAGTAACAGTATACTTGCATTCGTTTCCACCAACATCGGAATTTTCGGAGTTGACGCCGGAAAAATGTTGACGCTGTTCGGGGTCTATGCTGGTATAATTTTGTTCCACTTCGACTGGCACTGTTTGAGGCGCCAAGGAAAGCGTTCCAACGTTCCCTGTTCAGCTTGGCTGCTTGTGCAGGGGGGGAAGAGGACCAGCGCAACATTTGGGAGGCGCCCGCAGCCAGCCGTGGGGTCATGGAAATCCCGATCTGATCAACGACAGGGCGTAGATGAAGATAGTCTGTTTTGGGACTAGTTTTGCTTCACAAAGCTCTGTACACCCATTTGAGTGGGGCAAGCCGCATACAATCTGCAGAGTTCTTGTCAATGTCGCAGGGCTTTCGAGGTGACCAATCATTTTTGGAAAATCTGGTAAACACACGGTCAATTCTGGTTGATTGTTGGTTGTTCCATCCCAACCACAAATAGCTTCTTGCTTGCAAAATATTCAAAGACAGTTTTTGTTGTATCTTGTATGAGAAGGCAATATCATGTTCCTGCAGGGTCGAAGATGCACTGATTTTGATCCCGCTTGTTGCGCCAGGAGACCAGGAAGAGCGTGGAACGCGAACAGTGGGAAGAGGCAAGAAGACAGGCTGGTTTGAGCATTCCCCTCGTAAAGTTTGGAGATGTTTTGAGAGATTTGCGTCCTTGTTCTTGGCCTGCGAAGCCTGACCGCCCGCGAAGCCGGACCAAAAGCGAAGGTTACGGGCATGGACCGCATCGAAACTCAGAGGCCTCTTGATCAAGTTTTTGTGGAGCCATACCCAACCGCCCTCCGTTCATTCGGACCAGCTCCAGTTATAGAGTCAGGACTCATGACTCAGTATTCCGATTCCCCTTTCTGCTCTCGATCTCGATCTCTTGATGGAATTCCACTGTCGCAGGTGGCCGAAGAAGGAGGGTCGATCCGCAGTGCGCGCGGAGATTGGTTGATGACGTTCCTGGCTTCAAATCAGGCGATACCGAACTTCGACACCGAACTTTTCCATGTCTACTGCTGTTTCATGGTGGGAGCACCGCAAGCTCTGAGCGAGTCTGAGGCTGGACCAGGAACCGGAGGACAAGGACTACCCGTTGGAGGTGATCTTGCCGAGCCAGGCCACGAGGAAGGGGGAAATGCCCGGAGTTTTACAAAAAAGGACACCGCTGCTAGGCACGTTGCTTGGGCGCAAGTGGAAGATCACCAACAAAGGTAAACATGACGTGCTACTGGCTTCTTTGAAAAAATATCTTATCTCTCCAGGGAGCATCGTAACCCTAAACCTAGGCGGTGCTGGTCTTTTTGCCACGCTGGCGGTCATTGAAGCGACCTCTCCGGGAGCGTGCCCGCGTCGGAGCGCGCAACCACGTCGTTGTTCTCGGAGGCAGTGAGACAATTCAGACTGAAGAATGAGGATGTTCAAGGCCGGCCGACTGGGGGGTTTTGAATGGCAAATGAGAAAGGTAGGATGGAGGTAAAAATGCTGGACGACAAGATAGATGGGCGTTGAAGTCAGCGGAAGCGGCGCAACCTTTTTTCACAAGCTAGTGCAGTGTGGGGTTCTTACTGGTTCTCGGGTCTTCCCAACCGCCTTCTTCTTTCTTCTTCCTTCTCCTCCTCCTCCTCCTACTCCCGCTTCTGCCAACTGTTGAAGCAAAACCAAGTGAACAGGAGCAACCAGCGAGCCACACCTCATTGTAGGAAACCTGGGGCACCTGACAGCCTGGTCACGCACACACTAAGGTCGGAGCCAAAGTGCGCGCAAGAGAAGAAAAGGAGATGAGATGACAAGACCAGAAGACGGAAAAGACATGAAAGGAAAGGTGTGTAGTTTCCAAAGGAAGCCAGGTGAAAGGAACAAACCAAGCAAAAGCCTCAAACCTCATTGTCAAAGCCTGGGGCACCTCACCTCTCTAGGTTTGTGAGTACGCAGTGCACGAGCTAAGGAGGGGACTGGAAAGAAGAAAGAGAAAAGGAGAAAAGAAAGAAGCTGGTGATGCTCCCAGCTGTGCAGGGACACATCAAAAGTGTTCCCTCCTATGGCGCCACCATCCAGGGACACCCACGTAGGAAAACGAAGACAGGAGAAGAGAAAAAGGAAGGAAGAAAAGAAGGGAGGAAAGAAGAAAGGAAGAGGTCCCAGCCATGACCCAAGTGCCAGGGACTCTGTTTCATAGAGGGGCTGGAGAAAAGGGAGGGGGAGAGAGAGAGGTGAAAATAAGGCCCGGGCTGAGATCCAGCGATCTCAATCAAACCTTCTGTCACTGTGACCACCTTTCGCCGTGTCCACAGGACTGGCACCTCCGCTGCGGGATCCGTGTAAACGTGCCTGCTCAACAGGTTACCTGTTGTTCTCGCGTTTCATGGTGGTTCATGTGGGGCAAACGTTTTGTGCAATGATTCTCTTACTCCCTGCCGGAGAAGAAGGTGCTAGCGCCAAAAGAAGCAAGGTCAGTATAAAGAAGCAAATGAAGAGGATCCAGGGTCGCCCCGACGTGAACAGTAGTAGTGGCTTATAGGAGCCTTACGGCTATCAAGCAGGGGGCCACCAGGTCCCAAACAAGCGGTGACCATGACCTGCTCCATGAGTCCCAAGTCTTCAAGTTTTAATTCACCGCCGTCATAAGACAACTCTCGCTGTGCACTTCCCGGCCCAGGTCTCGGTCCCAATCCGAGAGCGCAAAGCATCCTAGCTCTTGATTTACTTTGCTAGCGGTTCGTGTGAATGGCAGTGGCCTCTGTACCATGGCAGATGTGAGAGTAAAGGTCTTCACATGCATGCAAACCACCTACGCGCAAGGGCGGGGCCTGGTCCCCCACTTCCACCCCCCAAGGGCCTCAAGAAAAAGATTGTGACGCGTAGCTATGTCCGCGCCTTACGAAGAATACAATTGTGCGGGACAGTGCTTGACCATTGGACCTTCCCAGGGCAGTGCAACGTCCACACATGAATGCAGGAATGTCTGAACTGAGGCCATCGGCCACTGGTATATGCGCTCAAGAGGGCTCAGCTGGATGAAGCAGTTCTGAAGACCCAGCGAGCGGCCAAGGCGTAAGAAGACTCATGCCTCGGCAATCTAACAAGTCCATTCGTTGGCGCAGTTCTCATGGTCGCATGCTTAGTCCGGTTGAGGCAGTTGCTGGCTTCGATTCGTCGATTCGTTAGCGTGTGCAGGACACTTGGAACGGTCCCTCTAAGCATACTTTTCCATACCCGGTTATATCGATTGTGGACGGTGGCATCTCCGTGAGTCACATTCCTAGTCTTCTTGTTCCAGGATTCCAGGGATTGATTGTATGCTAGAAATGCTGAAATGATTGGTTGTTGGCGCTCCCGGTTCTTTGTGCCTACAACCCTGAACAGGACAGTGGGTGGATGCCTAATCTTGTTACAGTGTGCTTTGATGATGTGGCAAGATCTGGTTCCTGCAGATGTGCCGGTGCCTCATAGGAGTCACTCCATCGCTTTGACCCTGTCCCTGTCTCTGTACAAGATTAACCTGTGGGCTCCTGCTGACCAGCCTGGATGTCTTGGGACAGTGCATTTCCAAGGCCTGTTGCCAGCGTTTTGATTCAAGTATCCAGTAAGTCTTGATCTGAAAGCTGCACTCTTTAGTGGACAACTTGGTTCCTATTTGGAGCACAGTGGAGCCCGACTCAGCTGACAATCCAATGTCTTTGTCATGGACGCTCATTTCCATCTTCATCTTCGCGTGAACTCCTGCTGCTGTGCGCCGCTACTCGAGCCATTTGCTTTGCACTTCGACAGATCGCCGTGGCCCGCCTGCGTCTTCATCTTGGCGCCGTGCGTGTTTGATGAGGCTCTCCCGGATCACCTTGCTGCAGAGGTGTGCCGCTGAGAGAGACTTTCATCAGTTGTTGGGCTGTCCAGATCTTCTTCATCTCTTCAGTAGCAGTTGCTTCATGTGTTCCTTTGTGGGACAAGATTTATAGGGGCATCCAGCACTGAACGTTTGTGCAGATTAAACGACCTGCTTGAAGACGGCGTCGCGGCTCAATCGGTTGCAGCACTAGGGCTGGGTCCGGCCACTGGAGCCGCAAGCGACAAACAAACATGTCGGCAAACCCATGGAGCCCACAGAGGGATCTGGTTCAAGCGCTTGGAAACCTGGTCCGTCCACGCGAGTCCGACCTTCGCCAAATTCAGTCACCAGGACACAATTTGTGCCTTTCTTGGCGCTGAGCTTCGAGGGCTCAATGCCACTGCTGGATCTGATCAGGCAGAAAAGCAAATGCCTATTGAAAAGATCCCATCAAGTTCACACTGATCGAGGATATCAAGGATGTCACTCCTGGAAGACCAAGCATGGCTATTCATGATGTGGGACAACATGACAGCGCCTGACTCTCAACAAGAACAAGACGGCCATCACCACACAAGCTCCAGAACTCTTGGAGCACCTTGGTGAAAGATCCGGAGGCAGTTCAGCAGTTTCATGCCTGGAGCCCTGGAAACGCCAGGTTGGTCTTCGAGCAGGTGATGGACCTCTCATCTGAGCTTGTCAGATCACTGCTGTGCAGCCCAACCCCCATACATTGCGGATCTCTCCGACGACGGACTTGGCTGCTATGGTGCTTGCCTGGCAACTCTGAAGAACCCTCCAACCATTGCTGCACCCATGCTTCCTTTCCGCCCTTATCATGTAAACGCCATCAAGTTGCAGGAGGGATTGATGTCTCTTTTGAACCCGCTCATGGCGCCCACATTGTGCCATTTGAGGAGTGGCCAAGCCTGTGGTCCAGAAAGCATGAGAAGCCGTCGTACTTACAGGCCGTGAATCGGGAACGGCTGTGTTTGGGTATGGAGTTGTCATCGATTCTGATACAGTACGTGCGTGGTGCCCTGGTGTGTCACAGCCTATCGTGAGAATTATAGAAAAGTTAAGGAGCAACGTAGCACGGATGCAGAAAAGTAGATCACGGGTAAACCAGGTAGTCACAGCCGCGCGCATCAGAATCATCAGCTGCACCCGCCATGTGCAGCGCCTACAAATCCTTTGGGTAGCTGGTGTCTCAATACGCACACACCGTCCACACACTCTCAATAAGTAGGTCAAGAAGCGCTGCTAAACCGCGCAAGTTCAGGCCTCCGCATTGAGGCCGCATAGTATCTGTGCGCGGGCCGGGCTGTTTCGAGCGGTTTGGATCGGAATGCATCAAGTATACTATGAGCTAGTGACGTGGCATTATGAAAACATACCTGGATTTTTGCACCCTGGCCATGTCATTTGTCCTGGCTAGGACAAACAGGGTGCCACAAACCTTTTTTTTGTGGTCGTTACCTGAACAGACGGAGACAGCAGCAAGCATGACACGGCATTTGTTGGCTCAAACCCCTGTATTACACACAAAAATATTCAGATGCGTAATACAGGTGAGCGGTCCACCCGCCTCACACTAATTAACTATACAATGTACAACAGATCCACTGTGCAAAGACCAACTTGGACCGCGAAAGAAACAGGTGCGGTGCACAGGTGCTATGTCATGCACGCTGTGTTTACTATCTAGTTCGTTGGAGGGAACCTCCCCAGGGACTCCCATGTCATTGAAACCATACTTTTGGGTGGTGCGCCAAGGCCATGTCATGAGGTCACAGAAAGGCCTACTTTCTGCTTACGAAGGCCATGTCATTGGCCCATAGTATAAGTGATTCTGTGGCACCAAACCAAGGCCGTAGAACCTTGGACAAGAAACTTCGGTGTGGCATGCGTATGCTGGTGCTCCGTTCCTGTGCAGCTTTTGGGTCGGCCACCAGTGTGTGAGTGGCACTTGCTGCAAGAGAAATCTTGTTCGTTCCATTCCATGTTTTGCACGTGCTTTGTTTCCAAAGCCTGAGCCACCTTTCTTGCTCACCATCCCTTTCCCCTGACCTGGTTCATGCTACCTGATTCATGCGCCGTTTTTTCGATGTTTTGGTTTGCTTCTCCTCTCTGGCATTTGTTTGTTCTTACTTTTTTTGCTGTGGGTGTTTCGTTTCGCCCGGTGTTCCCCCTCTCAAAAAGGCTGGTCGGTGTTCACAGGTTGGACTTGCCTCACAAGGGAACAGCACCATCTTTTTTGCAGTTTGGGAACTTGTAGGGGCCTGTCGTTTGTTGGAACCATGAATGAGCCAGCCGGCTAGCACAGCCTGGGGTCCAGCAAGGGTTGATGATCATTCATGTCTTTGGGACGTGAAAACGGGGGTCTCAAACACGGAAAACCACTTGCTCTGAAATCTCGCCCCGCAAACCCGACCGCGCTGAAGGACGCCAACCCGGATTGGAGAGAGCCCGCAGAACTGCACAAAAGTGCCATGGCCAGTGTTCTTTTTGAGCCATTCGTTATATACTTGAATCAAGCACAGCAGTGAGTCAGTCGCAGCAGTTGGGCATCACATTTACAACAGATGATGTCAATTGCTGGACTGCGCAGTACGTGACATGAGGCCAGTCTATTGGAACGATCGGACAGTTGTCAAGGACATAGTTGGGGCCTCAGCCTCATTGGCAGGCGAACTGGGACAAAATGCGTAGGCGTCCTGTGTCAAACGTAAACGTGGCGTGGCTTGATAGAACTGACTGATAAAGATGATAATTTACAGTAAGAAGAACAGTATTGCTTCTGAGGAGCACGCCATGGACGCCGGTTTTTGGAGAGTTTGGTCGGAGTTGATCCACTTCCTCTCACCAAAGAACTTTAAGAGTGGCTCCAGAACCGCTATTGGAAAACGCTTCCCCAAGTCTGATCCAAGTTTGCTTGAGGTGGCTGAGCTGTTTAACAAGGAGATGTCCGATTGGGAACTGAAGGTGCGCTTGAGAGTCCCCCAAGATGGCATCCTTTTCAGAATCCAGGGGCAGGGAACATGAAACCAGAGGAGAAATTGTTGTTTTTATATACTTGTTAAACAACTCCTGCTTACTTTCAGTAGTTGAAAGGCTTTCATGCTTCACTTGATGATCAAACCTTATAAGAGACAAGCTAAGGCTAGACAGCTCTGGCATCCACGATTTGCGGCACGCGTGAAATTCTGACCTGAACATGGTAGTTTCCCCCTACTTCGCAATTGGATCCGGAAGTTCTCCCCAACCTCCGCCAACGCACAGCCAGAGGGCTCGCAGGGTCGCGTCGCGCGTTTCTCGGCAGGCTCTGTACGATCGGCAAGAGAGCTATCGACCGCCCTGGCGAAGTGCTTCGTGACCCATCGACGTGGGCACCGGGCGACGCGGGCGACGTGCGTCGTTGACTGAATGAGTCAAGTCGCCATAGGCGGTGTGCCCGCTGCGCGGCCGTGCTGTTTGAGAGGCCGAATGTTTAGTGACCAAGAGGACAGGACAGATCGGAAATTGTATTAGGACACTATGCTCGGTGGAGGCCATCGCTACGAACAAGAAGCTACGCACGTAAGAAGGCTAAAAGATGCACTGGTCAAAGTTTCTGAACCAGAGGGGTCAATGGGGCCCATCCACAGGCCATCGCAACCACTTGCCAGTGCAACTGTTGGGGTCGCAACCAGCCGCTTCTGTATGAAGAATGATTGAATTCAGAGGTTCTTACATCTACTGTGGGGGTATGAAGCCAGCTCTCCTGCAGTCTCTACGCTGTGAACAACTCCTGTGGATTCAGGTGAACCGTGGCTTTTCGTTTCACCAGAATCAGCTGCTCAGCTCACCTTGGTTTTGTCCTTCGACGATGGCGGTAACAACCCCCGTGGAACCTCGATGCAACGCCAACAGTTGAAGTTCTCGAAGTACCGCTTTTGGTCACAGAATTCCATATGTCACCGGTCGACGGGTGCGCCCCGGGTGGTCCAAAAAGTGCGTCGACGTGTGCGACCTCCGAGACTGCGTGAATTGGGAGATCGCAGATGTGAATTGGGCTGGGTACGGAGGGGCGATGTGAAGGAGAGACGTTCCATGCCTACAAGTCAAGTATCTGGGTGACGCAAAACCGCAGAATCAAACCAGAGGAAGATTTGTGGTGGGTTGACAAATCGGCTTGTTGGCACTTCAAAAACCTCGGGACGGAAGGGCTGGACAGGCATTTGGACCCCTCAATTATGGTCCATCATCCTTCGAGTATGAGTGAATCTCCCAAAGGTGAACGAATCCCGCTGCATGGGAGCGAGTGACACCCGCTGCATGGGTCTAAATCTAGCAGGGGGCGGTCTGTTTCATGTTGGTGTGGATATATATAGTAGTGTAGTTGGTCAAGATATCATCCAGGGTTTTGTGGAACAGATGAAACGTCTCAACAGATGCAGGGGCTTGGGGCGACATGACTGACACTTGTAAAAGAGAGCAACAGGCAAATCCTTCTTTGCAATTCCTCATTTTTTGTCACAGTTGGGATAGCATTGGATAGCCGCGCCCGTCCTCCCGTCCACGGCGAGGAGAAGGCCTCGCGGCTTACCACGCCAGCTGCGATTGTCGACGTCAGCGAGCCCGGATCCGGCGCTGGTTGGTCTTCGCGGTGGAGACCGATGTTTGCCCGGACCCAGAAAAAACCCAGGGGACCCAGGGGTCTGGAATTTCTGGAAATGGGGAAGCATAATTATACAAACTCTGGGCCATCCCATAGCGGGTGAGCCATGGTCAGAGGCCAATGCAGGCTTCATAGACAACATGCGATGAACACTCACCAATGCCGAGGCGGTTAAAGGCTTGCCTAACTGGCTAGCTCATTCGAGACCGCCGTAGAGTCGGGTCAAGTCTTTCAAACATGTGTCGTCGGACCCTTCTGGGCAGTGTAGAGAGACTGGTAGAAACGGAATCCATTGATCAATTCGAGCCGGTCACGGGAATTTCACATGTGCAATTCACATGTGTTCAATGCCTTTGCTCTCCCCGTGGCACTTGGTGTGATGTCAGCTGGCCGTGGCTGAGGCGATGGAAGAAGTGATCAAAGATTTTCAGGCTGCAGACGTTCTGGGTCATCTATCTAATACAGTGACTCTCATAAGTGGTTGAGACTCCAGAATGGTGGTTGGATACCAGCTGGTGCTACTTCCGAGGTGCCCAATATCGCTTGCAGTCGACGGAGGTTTTCTGATCACAGAAATGACAGCTATAGACTTGGGCTCTAGAATGCAGTGATCAAGTAATTTCATGTTGGATGCCTTTGTGTCAGGTTTTCAGTTATTGATATGACATTTTATCATCAGTCTCTTGAATTGGCGATCTTCCCGCTGAACTCACTCATTTTTCTCACCTCGTGACATTGGGAGGTGCCTCCAGAACGAGAGGATCGAGTGCTCGACCAGACCCGCATACGGCTCAAACGCATCGTGGTCGAGGCCTCGCCCCGTGACGTAGAACGGCCAAGTAGAAGACCAGGTGTCCCTCAACCAGGTGTCCCGTTTTGTGGGGGACTTGTGACTTGTGAGCCATAAGAGGACGACTGGTGCTGGTGTGCCGTCGTATGCCGTCGTGAACCCGTCCGGCCGTGGACCCGCAGACGCTGAGAGACCCGATTTTGGTCCATGTCCGAGTCTATCGCAGACGCTGCACGAAGCCTCTCTATTCTCCCTTGTTTTGCTGCGTTGATTGCACGTAGACTGTCCCGAGCCTTTCAGAAGTGGCTCCCTACCAAAACGGTTGTGGTCAACCCAGCTTCGAACAGGTGTAGCAGGTCAACGGTTTTTTAAATGACTCATGCCACTTGCTGGGGTCTCGAGTTCACCCACAATCATGATGAGCGACTTATACATCCCAAAACTGGAGCAAGGCCAGCGTTTGGTTCGGGATGAGCATGGGAATCATGAGAAGATGGTGGAAGCAGAAGACGGCGCAAGACTCACCGTACCACCACAGATGGAAGATTCGTGAGTTGGCACCCAAGTATAGGGGGAAGTCGACAATTTCAACCTGAGTCCCTTCTCCTTACATGACAAGCCCCAATCGTGACGCCAGATTCAACCCAGTGGAATTTCAGACACGTGCAATTTGCTGAAGAAAAGAATATCTCCGCATCCAAATCACTTGAAGAAACCGGCCCTTTGTCCTTGCAGGCGGAAGAAAACTTGCGCAAAATGCTGGCTGAGAGCTCGTCCACCCCCGCGATTGACATGGCCAAGCTGGCAACCTTGTGACCTGGGGGTGGGCCGATTGACCTGGGACAGATGGCGTGATGAAAGAGCTATGATTTGATGAGTCATGTTGATAATGGAAATACTATATGCGTTTATGAGGTGTGCAGATATGGTCACATGTGGCAGCATTTGGTTCTTCATCCACTTGCCAAGAAGATATTACAGTCGCTCCGAAGGATGGATCACCCCTTCATCACATCCGGACCTGCCTGTGGGGGAACCAGGGGCGTCTGAAGGAACGGTACATGACCTGCTCAGGTTACAGAGATATGGCACGACCATGTCCTTCTCAAAGTCTCTTTGCACGCGGACAATGGTAGGACAACGGTGACGACACTCATCTGCACACTGGATGTCTTTGTTCAAGTCCCCACCGTTAATTGTTGTAAGGAGTTGGCAGGGCGCCATAAGCTTTGTGTTTTGCCAGCGGCGTAAGTGTTTCAAGATCATTTTTATTCATGCTTCACGTCTGTCACCTCCATTGACCTTCTGCGGTCTTCGGCGCTTTTTCGCATCCGTAAAACCTGGGCCACTCGGCTGGTTGTTTCATTACAGACCGACGTACCGGATGTACCGGATGCTCTCGCCACGCCATGGAAAGCATTGTTTTTGCTCCTCACTGTCAGCTGTTGGATCATTTGGAAGATAGTCAAAGGACCTACAAACATAGAGCTCCCGCCGCCTGCCCCCAGAACTTGTGTGATTTGGTGTAATTAACATGCACAGATCTGATTTGGAACTAGTGACTACTGCCAGAAGACATAATATACAACTCTTGCACTGTTCCTGCACCGTTGGGCCAGGTGGCCAACAAATTCAAACAAGACTTCCGCGCCGTGGCCAGCGTGGTCGAGGAAGAGATCAAGGCTTCCGGACCACGATCTCTTGGGAAGCACCGAGTCGGTCATCGGGTGTTTCGCGGCGGTGGACGAGTCGTGCGAAGTTGCGGGCGAAGCGGAGGACGAATCTCCCGCGATGGATCGAAAGGAGTGAAGTTGGGATGGGGACACCTGGGGACATGAAATGAAACATCGACACCTGAGACACTTAGTGGCGGACCTCGACTCGACCTCGCGGTGTCCTGAAGTCGGAGCTCTGAAGTCGGACGCCCGAACACGGGTTTCGAACCAGCACGAGTAACGGTGACGGTGATGCGGTCCGGTCCACGCCGCGAGATTGGACCGTCCGCGAGCCCCCATCGGAGGATTATCGGAGGGAGGATTCGAGGTTTTTCCGGCCTTGGGTGCATTTGTCCCGTGAAAACATGTGAGGGACTCGAAGCCGGGTCAAGGAGGGAGGGCATGTTTTTTGTGTGCCAGAGCTGGGTGGTCTCTTGGGGTGCTTCGGACCAAACCGAACCGCGCAGCGCTTGGATTTCCACGGAGCCGGCGTCCCTTTCGCGCACGCACGCTGGTCCAGGTGGCTCGAATACGCCGCGTGCAGTTCTTAGAGATGGAGCTGGAGGCGGTCGACGGCCGGTTCCCATAAGGGGACCAATCTGGCGATGCGGCGATGCCGGATCGCCACGAAGAGAGGTGATCGTCACTGGATCGTGAGGTTTTTTTTGGAGGTGAAATCAAGATGGGGAGGTTCTTCCTCTGAGGCTCTAGAAAGAACATCAAAGAACCACATCGCCACCCTCTTTCAAGGGTTTGGATGGTGAGGTTCCTCCTATGAGCGGCAAAAACCCCGCAGTGTAGGGAGGCCCCTGGGTTTGATGTGCCAACTGGACCCACACTCAGAACGAACTCGGCACTTCAGAACTCAGAGCCCGGAGAAAATCCGGCACTTCATGTTTGTCCCTTTTTTTTATACCAGGGCTGGCTGCTGGCGGCTGTCTTCGTTCAGTTTTTATGGCTGCTGGTGGAGGGGTTGATGCTTTCCGTCAGGCTTCCAGAAAGTAAAACGTCGGAGTCCTACCAGCCAGAGAAAATGCCTATATATGACAAAATTGAACTGTTTGGATCTGGAAGATGGAGACAGCAATGACTTGCCTTCGGACCCGTGATCTTAGTGATGAGACGCATGTGGGTGCTCAAAGATCACTCACTAGGTGCTTCGCGGAATCTGTCGAAGCCCAGCAGTGATCTCATAAGATTCGGTACACCCTATAAAAGACAAGTAGATTTTGAGCGTGAGAGAGAGAGAGAGAGAGAGCGAGAGAGAGAGGGAGGGAGGGAGGGAGCGAGGGAGGGAGCTGCTTAGCGGTGGGTCAATGCTATTCAATGATTCTATGTTGAAGTAAGTCAAATTCTGGAATCGGTGAACAAGTCAGTAGGGAT